ATGGTACAATAACACAGAAAATAGGAGCAAGCAGTAAAAATCATAAAATAATGCTGTCTTAAGCTTAATGCTGTAATAAGATGCTATATTGATTTATGCCCCAAAACCTGGTAATTTTCATGTGGCACTGTTTAAAAAGACAATGAGCAAGGTTGCCAACCATTTTCAATGAAAAGTAGCTAATGCTTGCCCGAAAAGTAGCTAAATGTTGCCAGATGTGATCACACACTAATTTGCATTTCCGTGACATCATCACATAGTATCTGACAAAAGTAAGCCCGTCATGTCCTTACTCTCTGAGGTGCCGTGTATCATATTATATTATATTAAAACATTACATCCAGATGCACAATAAATAGTTTCTTTTTTTTTAAGCTCCCAGGTTCTTCTGATTGCAATGCCCCAAATTTTCATTGCCAGTCTTAACTCAATTGTGATGAAATGTTTTTTGGTGCAATTTGGAATTTCCCCAACCAATCGTAGAACCTGGGGGACTAGAGTGAGTGCTCTGACTTGACCCCACCCTGGTCCCAATAAATAGGTTCTTATTAACATATTACAATGCATGATAATGTCATTGCATAATCAAAACTCAAAACATAAATAATAACAATAAACTTAGTGCGGCAGAGGGGCAGTGGCTTTAGCTTTAGCCCCCCTGTGCACTGCTTACTATTTTTTACTATTTTTGTGAAATTAACACATTTGTGAAAGTGACAACAATTATAGCACTGCTGGAATTTCTTCTTACCTAAATTAGCAACAATTATACATGTTAAAAAAAAATCACTAAATTAACAGTTATGAAAAAACATCTGAGCTAGCAATTTAGTCTACTGAGTGAACGCTCTTTGAAAAAAAAAAATAATTAGGGTACTATGAAAAGTTGATAAATCTAGCTACAAAATTGCCAAGTTAGCAACACTGACAATAAGTGTGGAAATGCAGGTCTGTGTGTGCATTGAGTCTCCGGGTCTGCAGCTTCACCCTACTCAGATTACAACACAACAAACTCACAGTCACACTGATGTTGCAATGAAAAATAATTTCAGAACAAAGTATTACAAAAATTTGCAAATGCTTTGGTGATGAGTAGATTTAATCACTACTGTTATGTAGCAAAATAATTGTTGTACTTTTTCCCCACTTGTTCAGTTGACATTATTTGGCGAAATTCTTATTTGGGTCGATTGCGGAAAAGAAAACATTGGTGAAACTGGACTTTTTAAATGAAAAGGCTACCTTCACATGACATCTTTTTAAACAAAAAACATAACAGGTGGGCTTATGTCAATAAAACAAGTTATTGTGTCAAGTTATTTAACAAACAAAAAGATTTGCAGCAGGCAGCAGTTAGTTCTCTAACACTAAAATTGAAAAAAATAAAAGAATTTCAATTATTTATTTATTTTAGCCTCACACAGTAATCAGTTTCTCTGACATAAAATATAGCTATAAAAATCAATGAAGCAAAAAGCAAATAAATACCTGTAACACTTAAGGGTCATCTGTTAAACACATCTGGTAACATTTACTTAATCTTTGTTAGCATAAATTAATGTGTGAATTAATACATGGTTTAATTGTAAACAACTTCATTTAGCAATTCACAATCGTTATTAATGTTTTCTTAGTCATATAGTCTGATGAATTTGCTTACATTAACAACTTAATTAGTTTATGTTTACTCACAAACAAACTAATGCATTTGTTAATGGACTAGATGAAATTATAACCCAGGCTCATTCTGGTTATGCAGTTTTTGTTTTCGCGAATCTGCCAGAGGCCGATGTGTATGCTTTTGGAGATCTGAAATAACTCTTCTCGCCTCACGTTCTCACGTGAACCCACCAGAGGCTGCTGTTGACTAACTCACTGACTTGTTCGATACGCAAATACTGCCATCCTGTGTTTAAGAGGAAAAAAATACTACTTCTGCATGCAATGTGAAGACTGAATTCTGTTTCGTTGTGAATTATTTCCCACCATGGGTTTATTTTTCGCAATACCATATTGACTGAAATATGCTGAGATATCTGTGCAGGATTAATTTATTTTAACTTTTAGAAATAAGTTATTTTCAAATAATAATAAAATAATTATAAGTTCATAAAGGATTTGGTAAAAATTTAGGTCACAACTACTGTCTGTCTATTATTGAGATTTTAACTGTTTCTTAGAGGTTATAAAGAATAATCTTATTCTGCATCCTTAATCCTACCAAAAATCTAATCCCAAATTTTACCTCACCAACTATTAATAAACAGCAATTAGTAGTTTAGCAGTAGTGTTAGTTGATGATTGGTTAATACCATGAATTGACCTAAACTAAAGTGTTACCAAAAATGTATTGATGTCTAAATGTAGTTATCTTTGTTAAATCTTTTTAAAATTAAGAATGGTTTTATTGCACTAACCATAGTTAAGTTATGTGAGGTGCTTTTGTAGTAAAACCATAGCATTCACAAAATGACCTATATATTTACTATAGCATTTAAACTAAAACCATAGTATCTTCACAATGAACCATTGTTTTACTATGGCATTTGACGTAAAACCATAGTAACTACAAGATGTACAATGGCTTTACTAAGGCAAATTAAGTAAAACCAAAGTAATACAAAATAAAATATACTTTTACTGTGGCATTCAAAATAAAACCACAGTACTGTAATTTCTACAAAATGAACCATGTTTTTAATATGCCATTTAATTAAAACCATGGCAACTACAAAATGAATCAAGGGGTTACTACGACATTTGAAGTAAAATGGTACATTGTTTTAGTATGGAGCTGTTTTTCTAAGTTAATTAGTTTTTTATGCAAATATTTGGTTGAAAATATTTTTACCACTGCAGTGGTAAAATTTTAGGTGATTTTTCTGAATAATACTGGAAGTATTTTTCAGACTGGAAGACTTTTTACACACAGTTTAAATTTTATTTAAATTCTCTTCTCTTGCATTCTCTTCTTTTTTTATTTTTGGTGGACAATATTGCCTAACTTAATACAAGTTAAATTTAATACAATCTGTGGTGACACTTTACTTGAAGGGGTGTTCATAAAGCCATTTATAATAACGTTATGAAACATTATGACATTTGTCATTAAGTGAAGTTTATTCATAAACTAATTTCGAGAGGAGCACGTGATTATGATTGAACACGGCTGGTTCTGTATTAGCATGCTTGATCCACCAATCAGGCCATTCCTAACCACTATAAAGAGCCAGGGTTTTCTCACTACAGTCATCTTCGATTTGAAGAATCCCCCCTTCCACCCCTACCTTTTCACCTTTCCCTCCATAGGGCAGCATGGTGGCTCAGTGACTAGCACTGTCGCCTCACAGCAAGAACGTCACCGGTTCTAGTTCCTTAACAGGCCGGTGGTCGTTTCTGTGTGTAGTTTGCATGTTCTTCCCGTGCTTGCGTGGGTTTTCCCCGGGTTCTCCGGTTTCCTCCCACATTCCAAAAACATGTACAACAAGTTAATCGTTAAATTTAAAATTCAATACAGGTAATCTAATAATGCAGCATATCTTTTAATAGCCTTCAATCTTAATCTTTAGCTATTATAAAAAGGGGAGTTGTCGAGATCTACCTGAGCTCGAGGCTCCCCTCTCTACCTCCAAACGGGAGGGAGCCCAGGGCTCAAGAACCTTCGAGCTCAGGGCTCTCTTCCGGGACAGCATGCCAAACTTGCTTATAATCAATCATCAGCTAAGTGTGAACTCTTGAAATAGGAGATTTTATGCATGTTTTTGACAACTGTCATTAAGTGTCATTAGCCCAGTTATGTCATTTTAACTGCAACTAGACATTGTTTGAGAATTCATTGTTATGACAACTCGTAAATAAACATTGTCTTTGACTTGACATTACCAAGACAACAAAACTTCAGTCATAAATCTGGCATAAATCTGAAGAAAATCAGCAGGTTGTAGAATAACTGCACATAGTGATAAAACTTTTCTCATTAACAATCTGAAAAATCTAGAACAGTTTCTTAATCAGTGGCTCATAATGAAACTGCTGGAGGAAATGTATATTAATACATTTATAAATAAAATATCTATGAAACAATGAAATACCTCTTTGTTATTTGCAGTATTGATATAATTACTTTTAGGGATGAAAATGATTTCTTTTTGTCAAATTAGACTACCAACATGTAACAATTAATATTTCCTAACTGTATTTTCATGAATTTTAACAATATTAATATTATTGTAACATAATTGGGCAGTGATGAGACATCCCGTTTTGGATCAAAATACATTTACAAAAGTGATTTCATTAACAGAGAGCATATGAAATGCAAGTAAAGCATGTACTTTAATGTTTTAAATATCATTTTCTAACCATAAAATCTCCAAATATGGATTAATAAAACAAAAATACTTATTAATGTTTTAAAAAGTCATCAGAAATTATATTGTATTAGTGAATAAAAATGGTATTTTAATCTTTTAAACTCTTAATTGAACATCAAATGATTTCTCTTCTATGTACACCATGCCAAAATCGTTTTGCTATATAAACTATTGCTACACTGAATAAGTCTTCTTTAAACCTTGGTAAAAAATGTAAACATTGTTATTACGCTTTAAAATTTAACATTGAATAAGGAACAGATTCTACATTGTGCTTTGCTCATCCTAATTTGTAATAGTATAAAGAATAATAACATACCAGAAATAATAAATTATATTTTAAATACTACAATGAACAACAATAAATCCAAATAAAACACCATAACTGAACTGGTCACATTAATATAAATGCCTCGTTTAGCCAACAGAGGGTGCCATAACTTGAGATTAGAGTTAAACCTTTTGTTTGCCATCAGAAATCCCTTCATTAAAAGTAGATTTAAAAAAATAACCAGCTTTGTTATCTCTTGTGGTCAAGTGTTGCACATTAAATTGCCTGCAGCTTATAAAAAAATCTCAAAAACAACTAAATAATAAAATTTTAAAAATCATACAAAGACATCTTAATGATGTAATAGACATAAAGACCAGCTTTATTTTGTCCCATTACTTTATGACCAAACAAAAGTTTCATCCAGTGCCCCCTGTTGTCCAAAGATTTAGGTGTGTGATTTGTTACTAGTAAATATACAATAAGTATTCAAATAAATTCTTGAAAAGGCAAATGTCAGAAAAAACTGAATACATGTGAATATTTCCTGCAAATAATGTGAACAGTATGTACTAGTTTCACTGTATAAATTACCAACACAAATGGTTACACTTTGCTGATGCTTCCAACATAAAAAGAAAACATTATTTAGAGACTACAACAATACATAAAAGTTATTTGTGAGCTGTTGCTTCCCAATCCATTTGGTAGTGTCTTATTCTAAATTATCTATCTGAAACTGATACAAGACCATATTGTTATAAAAAACTCTTGCATGGTTTATGCTTTTATAATCTGTATAATTATTTGTTCAACTGGAATGCATTTTTACCAATACATAATATAGTTTATTTTGTACAATTTCACAAAATCTAGCTTTACAAAATCTAGTAAAGCAGTCAACAAACAATAAGCTATTACTGAACAATGTGATAAAAATAAGAATGCATATAGATTGTCTTGATTGCCACTATTGCATGATGTTTGATTTTTTGTTTAGATTATTTTTACACTAAAAACAGCACAAGAACAATGTATCTAACAAAAAAGGTTGGATTATTTTAAATGATAAACACATATAACAACTATACTAAAACATTAGGACTGTCTGTATTTTAAGAGATGAATCATAACTGTGTTTAATTTGTTGGGGACAAATTGGGAATTTGATTTTAAAATAAAATTAAAAATGACAATAATTGAAATTAATTATGAGAAAAAATCTTAATTTGAATTGTCTTGTTAATAAAGTCATGTATTTTAGGTGGCTTAAGCACTTCACTACTCCATGTAATTTGTGACTATTGAGCATTTGACAAAGCAGAAACTCTGAGATCAGCTCTTTAAAAAAAATTTTTCAAATTGTTATTACGTATGAATCAATATCATTGCTAAATATTAAGAGGTCCTTAGAAAATAACACTTTTTGCTGCTCTACTTTCCTCCATTTACACAAAGTTTTGTTAATTTATGATTAGAAATCTGTAATACAAATTATGTTTTAATAAATGTTGGATAATCATTCTTAGATACATATATTTTAAATATTTAAAACTGTATGCATTCCATTTCATCAAGCAATGTTTTATTCTGATCCATTAGTTGGTTTTTAAGGCATTATATAGGCAGTGACATATTGGTAGCTCAAAATTCATAAGCGTTTTGTTTAAAGGTCTGAGGAACAAAAAAATCTCTGATTAAAGGGAAGAAAAGCTTGCTCGGTTGTATCCATTTGCCAGATCATAAGACCCTGGAGGTGTGGAGCAGTCTGTAAGGAAATTTGAAAATGTAAGTGCACATGGTGAGCTCTGTTCAACAGGCATGCTGCTAGAAAGGTCTGTGTGACTATAAAGATTTAGCTGTGCAGGTACTGTGCGCATGTCTGCTGACTTCTTGGAGGTGCTGCTACAAGTTCCCCAGGGTTCTGTGTACAAAAAACCACCGGTTACAAAATGGTGGGAGTCAAATGGCTCAGGGCCCATGGTCACCTCCTGCTGAATCCTGATTGGTGTGGTGTTAAATAAATCCTGCTCTGAGACCATGTTGCTGTAATCAGGTCCAAGGAGCTCCAAAAACTCTGCTGCTTCTGGAGTCCCTCGCTCCAGGTCTTTGAGAGACATGCCAGAAGTAGATGTAACTCTGGAGCTGTTGGCCGGCTCTGTGAAGAAGGATGGAGGAAGGTTTCGATGCCGCAGCGGGGGCTTCTTGGCCCTCTCTCCTCGTACATCCTTCGCTGGGTTGAAGAGGGCAGCCAGACTCTTGCTTTGCAGGTTGGCCTGTATTCCATCCTTCTTAGGTGTTGTTTTGCTGGACAGGTTGCTTGTTGAGGTCTGGGGCAAACTTTGCCTCTTGCAAGGCTCTTGAACTTGAGCGGCTCCAGGTGATATGATCCCCGTGCATCTCTTTATCTGCTTCTGCAGATACTTGCGGTGATTGACCTTCCTCTTGGACTTAACAGGTTTGTCCAGCGCAAGTTTGATGTTGCTGGAAGCCGAGTCAATGAAGCTAAGCAGGTCCCTAGTGGTCTCCCTAAAATCCCCCTCACAACCTTCCTCACTCAGAAGACCCCCTTCCAGATGATTTTCCACCTCGTAATCCATGACCGAGCCAGGAAAACAGAAGTTTAAGAACTGTGAGTTCATGATGGCAGCCTTAACAGCCATCTCTTTTTCTGGCAAAAGCGCAACACCTTCACATTGATTTTATGCAATTATCTTCAAGAGACCCTAAAGCATATTGTATCTGCATTTCGAGTGTAGATTTGTTAAACGTTGGTCCTGTGCAGGACACCCTTACAGTTCCTCTGCACTCTGCCGAAAGCTGGAATTTAGGGGAAGGGAGGAATATTTTAGGGGGAAGGGCCTATGATGTCAGGACATCAAAGGGGAGGGGCAGAGGGACTCTGGGACTTAACTCTTTGCTCACGCCTGACCACCTGCAAATAAGAGAGATTTGTCTGAGGCATCCCACAGAGTAAAACAACAATACCCTTGAGTTCATCTGTCCTGGTCTTCTTGTGCATTTCTATGCTATTATACAAATTGTATAATATGAAATCTCAGAGGACAGCTACACTGAACTGTCCCAAAAATAATTTAAATTAGTATGTATGTTTTCTTTAAGCAACATTTTATTTAATTATCTGTCTTAATGTTAGCCCAATGTCAGATTACATCTTAGATAAAAAGAAATGTTTTTGAGAATTTAGTGTTTAAGTCAGCTTGAAGAGTGTAAACCGCTAACACCATGTGTGATTTAAGCTGTTAGAATCTTTAAAGGATCTTTTAAATAAACAGTACAGTAAACATGTAAAGCAAAACAAAACAAAAAGTGTATTCCAGACGTAAATGAGAGAGTTAATAAAGTGCTTTTTAACGTGTATCATAATGTTTGTACAAACTAAACCAGACCTTTGGGACATGAGCATTAGATCCTGTGCATTGCAGTAACTTGCCATGTTTTGAGACAAGTACTGTTGTTGTTTTTTTTTTCCCCTACATGTTTCTTCGAACTATCTTAATCTGTTTGCAATGGAAATTCTCTTGCTTCCTACAGCAGTGGGAATTTTAGCCTCTGCCTGACAACTATTATACGCTGCCTTTGACATACAGCCCTACATGGTCTAAATAGCTTCTATTCTTCCTTGGGCAGTGAAAGGGATCTTTGTGCCAGAGATTCATTAAACTGCACCTCACAGCCTCTTCGTAAAATGAGGCTCAATAATGAACAGTCGATTTAACTAGAAAAGCTGCCGGAGCTGTTAAATTAAAGGGGAATAAAGTGCAGTTCAAGCCTAGTGTGCCAGAAGAAATGTTGACCTTAAGAAATCCTGGGTATGAGATAGCCGCTGTAAACAATTTAGCATCTGCAGGAAGTTTCTTGGCTTGCAGTGAATACTGAAAAAGGATCCAGCACTGGGAGTTTTATAGGGGTCCAAACAGATCCTGATTTCAGTGAAAGCACTTAAAGGACGTAGCTCTGGTTTAGGCTTAGAAAGAAAACACTTTATGTGTGTTTATAGAGAGATTACCAGCAGTCAGGCTTATATCAAGCATAATTTTTAATGTTGGATTTATTTAAAACAAATAGTTTGGAATCAACGATTTTCCAGATTATTGCAAAAAGCCTTTTGGAAAAAAATAAATAAAAATTAAATCCATACCCCATCTCTTTTTTGAGTTCAGATAAATAGTAACTAATGTTAGTCAGTTCAGTTGTCCTTCATCTGACCTGAATCTGATTCTGACCAATAAACTGTACTTTCCTATGACATTAAAATTAGCATCTAGCAGTTCTACCAAAGTTTTTTTTTTTTTATCACACTCCTTGCTTTTTATATGTTGTCAATTCCCATGACAATGAACAGTTTTTGCCCTACCCTCTTTGCTCTCTCTGAGAGGTTTTCCTGTGAATTTCTTATTTCTTTCCCACCCCATAAATGCATTTTAAGGTGAGGTAGTGAATCATTTGGATGTTGGAAAGGGTGGAAAGAAGGAGAAAGTCGAAGCGCTTTTGAAAGAGGGGGGCCATTGAGAGTGTTATTATCATGTAAATTGTCATGAAGAAAAGAGACAGTGAAACTGATAGCAGTGATCTAATTATCTGTAGCCCGGCTCAATCCCCGGTGCTGAATGGAGGTCCCAGAGAAGCTGCCATGGCCTCACAATAAACTTTTTTTTTTTTTACCACAATAAAAAACAGCAACAGTGTAAAAACAAGTTTTTTTGTTTGTTTTAACAGGGCTTCACATTAAAGTTAGGCTACTTTAAGCAGCTAATTTAAACCATGTTGATATTTGTTCCCCAACCACAGATTAAAAGTGACCACTGTGATATTTTTATTCTCTTTTGTATTCTTTAATTGGGTTATGAGAAAAGCAAATCTAAAATTTCCATTTTTCCAGCAGGAATTTCCTATAATACTTTAACTTCTGGAGAAGGTCTTTATTTGTTTTATTTCAGATAGAATAAAAGTGCTTTTGATTTTTCAAAATCCATTTTAAGTTCAATATTATTAGCCCCTTTAGGCTATATTTTTTTCAATTAACTACAGAACAAACCATTATTATGCAAAAACTTGCCCAATTAAACTATATACGAATTACCAACCTACGTCACACATGATTAGTCCCCGGTTGAAATAGCAAACATGTTGTGTTGTGCGGTAGGATGCCAAATTCGAAAGTCCAAAAATAGAAAACTTAACTTTTACCGTACACCACACGGCTTTAATGACAACGGCAGACGTCTTTGGCTAAAAGGAAGCTGAATAAAATGACAACCTAATTAGAAATGCTGGACTCTGCAGTTCACATGTTATATCAGGTAAGTTAGTTTTAGTTAGTTATATATTCACACATTAATTCAGTGACAACTTGAGACACACTTCCTATACGGTTCACCACAGCACTTTGAATATTCGGTATGAAATTACCTGCAATTGTGATTTGAAAACAACATTAACACTTTTTATTTGACCGTGAACAATTTTGTACTTTGATAGTCATTGGCTGCTAATATGATTTCGCTATTTAGAGTTTGCAAATATTAGTTTTATGAAATTATATTATTAAGGAGAAAGTCTGAGTGTGCAAATATAAAACCAACTTTACTTCTATGTGTAAGTTCACATTCCCTGCCGTAGAGGTGTAGTTCGCTGTCAGAATGCAGTTGTTTTGCTTGTTAATGATTACCCAGGCCTTATACAGTTCCGTCTACTTTCCTTGTCTTTGGCTAGGCAGAACCTCGACTTTTAGCTCTACATATTGTTGAATCAAGTAAACATGGAACATTATTTCTTGCACATGAACAAACAGAACAAAATTGTTGGCATCCAAAGACTTGTAGGCCTTTAACTTCTCTCTTGTTAAAACACTTGAAGCTTCAATGAGATTATATATTTAGGGCTGGATGCTTGGTCATTTCGTGCTATCGCAAATGGACCTGTCAGGCCAACGCCGCTTACTTTAACGTTAATTTTGCAGTATCACTGTGCTTGTCAATGGGTGACAAGCTGTTTTAATTCGCTGAAAGCATTATGTAAATAATATATATAATATTCAATCAATATATCTTATTTCCAAGACAACAACAAACTCTGTACCACATCGGATGTCATTCCCTCGCTGTAAATACTAGCGCTCCCATTTTTTTTTTCTGCCACCTTCCTGCGTGCACATCCTGAATGTTTACAAACATGGTAATTTATACTAGTATCTTCTAGTGAAATAATTAGTAAATAGTATGTACTATCATCATGGCAAAGATAAAAGAAATCAGTAATTAGAAATTAGTTACTAAAACTATTGTGTTATTATGTTTTTATTATATTGTATTAGAAATTTGTTAAAAAAATCTTTACTCCATAAATCAGAAATTGGGTTGGGCATATATATATATATATATATATATATATATATATATATATATATATATATATATATATATATATATATATATATATAGTATAAGTCAGAATTATTATCCTTCCTAATTCATTAGCCCCTAAGTTATTATTGATAATTTTTTCCCAAGATTTCTGTTAAACGAAGAGAAGATTTTAACACTATTTTACTAGATTTTTTCAGGACACTTTTATTCAAAAGCTCAAAGGCTATTACAACATTTTAAAAGCTTAACTAGGTTAATTAGGTTAACTACATAGACAGGTTAGGGTAATTAGGCAAATTATTGTATAACAATGGTTTGTTCTGTTCACTATCGGGAAAAAATACCTTAAAGGGGCTCATAATTTTGACCTTAAAATGTTTTTTTAACAATTAAAAAATACTTTTATACTAGTCGAAATAAAACAAATAAGACTTTCTCCAGAAGACAAAATATCATCAGACATACTGTGAAAATTTACTTGCTCTGTTAAACATAATTTCGGAAATATTTAAAAAAGAAAATCAAAAGGGGGTAATAATTCTGACTTCAACTGTGTGTGTATGTGTGTGTGTGTGTGTGTGTGTGTGTGTGTGTGTGTGTGTGTGTGTGTGTGTGTGTGTGTGTGTGTGTGTGTGTGTGTGTGTGTTTATTATCATGTTTACGAGAAAGAAAGAAAAATATTCAGGACAAAACATTTAACATCAAACTCCTGGTCTTTTTCACTCAGCCTTTTCTCTTACGGAGCCTAATTTTGGCACAGTGACATCACCACACTCATGGCTGATATTTTCTTCTCTCCCCACACAGAGCTTTTGTATGTGCTAGTCATTCACATTTAAGGGCTTGACGCACTAATTCCGGAAACAAGTTTCTATGGCCACATTAAGGAAAGGGATCAAAGAGGACAAGGAATAGAATAGTGACCAAAAAAATGAAAGAATTGCTTAAAAGATGCCAAGAAGATTCCTAAACTCTTGCAAAAGTTGCCAAATGAATCAGTCTATTCTATACTGGCCAGATAATGCATGAGATTAAAAGTAAGTAGATGGCATGATTTTTTGCCTAATGGTTTGTCAAATGATAGTAATGATAATACAACTTAACATTTTCATTATTGCAAAATTAAAAGTTCTGTTGAAAATTGAATAAATATGTTTGAGATTTACTAAAATTAAGATTAAAATGAAAAAAAAAACTAAATTAGATTTCTAAACCCAATAAAGTATCATATGCATGAATGGAAATGAAAATATTTCAGGTCAGATTGCTTGTGAAAAACTAATTATAAAGAAGCAAAAGCAATCAACAAGGTCAAACTAAGTTGAGCAAACTCTGCAGGGAGAAACACAAATGAGACAAGGGAACAACATTCATCTTCCTGCTTTTGATTCACATCCATGAAAAGCTGCTTAAGCAAACGGACACACTACACACTCTGCCCTCAACCAA